TTTGGCTCATAATTTTTTTTTATTACAATTGGAGGCGCTCCAATTGTGGATTTTTTAACATTAAATCGTTGTGTCGATTTTTCTTAGATTGTTTGATTGGAATTGTTATTTACTGTTGAAAATTAATACATAATCACAAATCAATATCTCCGGGATTTTTAGATTTTTTCACAATTGAATTTTAAAACTTCAGTTACTTTTAAATTAACCCAATTCATGTTTAAAAGAAATTAATTTGATTAGAATTAATTAAGCCATAACCTCATTCAAACTCATCTAATTCTGCAACCTTGGTCAACAAGCATCTTTGAATAATTTACTTTGGACAATAGACCTACACAAATAGAGAGGAATTGTGGAAAGAAAATAATCAAAGCAACAAATTTAGCCTCTTAGCATAAACTCAAACAACCAACAAGGCAAAAAAAAAAAAGACTAAGTTCAGAAGCTCCAATCTATAATCACTATATTGTTTAGACAAAATTCATTAACACCAAGGTTGCAAACCTTTTGATTTAGAATGTTCTTCGCAATTTTGAGTTCTCCTCTTGAGAATGTACTTCCAAGAAAACTAAGCAAGTGGAACAAAGACATTTTTTAGAAAAAAAGTATTCAATATTTCACAGAAGAATGAGAAAAAAAAGTTCCTAAGAAGCAAACAGAGTTAGAGTTCCAATTACCAGATCTTCATGCTTTTTCCCACCTTTTCTTGGTGTCCCGATGGGTCCCGAAGAACTCCTTGCACTACAAGCAACTCAAATATTGAAGTCAAATACTTTACAAGTTAAATAAAACAAAACAAATCAAGAGTAATCAAATGTAAATCGAAGAAATCAGAACAAATAAAACAAATAACATCCTGACAAATAAAACAAATCCCTAGCTCCAGATCAAGCTTGGGACACTATATATTTGATGAATATCAACTACAAATATTTTAGTAGCTAACGATTGTACATTTATGGACCAAATTTATTTTTTAGTCACCCAACACCCTATGTTCAATGACTAAAACTCAATTAGTTGCCAAAAATAAAATAAATACCGACTAAATTATTTTTAGTAGCTAAAATGTGTACCTTTGCCAACCAAATGTTTTTTAGTAGCTAAAGGACGTACCTTTGGCAACTAAATATTTTTTAGTCAGCAATTTTACTCGGCGAATGTGTATTTCCATTAGTGAAAAGTTCAATAGGACTTATTGGTGCACCCATCTTGCTAATAGGACTTTTCAATCATTCCTCTAGCATATATGTCATTTGAAGTCTGGCTTGACATAATAATAGACCAAATGTTGGCATTTGGAGTTCAGCTTTAAAGGAATGTTTAAATTCTAAGTCAGTCCAATTAATTTAATATATATGCATATATATATTAATTTTGGAGGGATATTAAATAAATTGAGGCTTTTTAATAATTATTTGAAGTTTGGCTATTGACAAAATCAAATACTAAAAATGAGCTTAAACCTTTTAACAAATATTTGAATTTAAGTCATGAAAAAGAAAAAACATGTATACATTTTTTTATTTTTTATTTTTCTTATGTAACTAAATAATATGAAATTTAAATCATATTTTATACACAAACTAATCGAGTTAGGGTAAAATTTCTCATCCCATGCTCAGATTGAAAATTAAACAAATCCAATCTTATGCGTCAAATATTTATCAATTCCTTAAAGATATATATCAAGTTAGAATGAGCGAGAGAGATGGGCCGTCACTACAAACGAATTGAGTCAAGTCGAATTTTGCAAACTCAAGCTTGACTCATTTGTCTATTGAGCTCGAGTTCGGCTCAATAATTAATCCAGCTTGAGTTCAACTTCGGCTTATTAAATCAATCTCAAGCACTCAAGCTTGGTAATGAAATATTTTTTAGCCATTATTTATATCTTTAAATATAAAAATAATATTTTTGTGTTAATATAAAATAATATATTTATATTATTTAGTGTATAAATAATAAATTTATCTTATTATTTTTTATATTTTTATATTATTTAATATATATATAAATAATATATTTATTTTAATTTTTAAATAAATGACAAACAAACTAAACTTATTCGAGTGTGATTCGTTTGTTAAATTATTCCAACCGTCTAGTTTAAACTTATTTATTGAACCAAGTTTTTATTAAGCGAAGTTTGCCAACAATTCGGTTAAAGAAAAATTAGAATGAAAGAAAGTTTAATTTATTTAAAAATAAGAAAGTTGAAAACCAAGAAAAGGAGAGACAGAAAGAAACAAAAAACAAAGAATATGATAGAAAAGAATAGCACCTTACCTTTAATTTCTTTATTTTCTTGGAAGTTGAATTGTTATATACAAACACCAAACCCCTCCACAAAGGCAAAGCCCCACTTTTTGGACAAGTGAAGATTCTCTGCAATAAATTGTTCAAAAATAATTGAGCGTTTTAATTTTAAAATTTTAGAAAAAACTCTAATGATGAGACCTATCATGTAATATTTATATTTGCTCGTTTGTGTTATTTTTTTATTTTTTTTTCCTATGCTACATTATTAGAGCTCAAATTAAAGTTTTAATTTTAGAGCTCTTAATCACTGCTCTAAATTTTTTTTGGTAATGATTTTATTGGACAATTTTTTATATTTAAAATTAAAATAAACTTATGTCATTTTAAAATATGTAATTTTGATGCAATTTTATTTTTGTTTTACCTAAACTCTTAAAATCATTTGCTAACATATTTTATTGTAATAAAAAATAAGAGTGCACATGATTTGGTTGATTCAATTTTAAATTAAACCTAAATGAAATTACTATTTATGGTTCTATGAAATTTAAAATCAAACTGAATCATAAAAATTTTGAAACGAAATTAAACCAAGTCAGAAAAATGTGATTTAATTTTACTCATAACTACAATTTTTATAGATTTTGTCATCGTTAACATCATGATCACAATGTGCCTGTTTGATAACCATTCCGTTTTCAGTTTTCAATTTATATTTATAAAAATTTAAAACACTGTCATAAAAACTTGTTTGATAATTTTTTTGGTTTATAAATGGTTGTTTTAGTTTATAAATTTGAGAAAAAAAAAACATAAACTCAAAAAATGAGTTTATGATTTTAGTTTTCAATTTTTTTTTAATTAATATTTTTTCAAATTATTTTTTTTCAATTATTTTTTTTTCAAATAATTTTTTTCCAATTATTTTTTTAATTAATTTTTTTCATTTTTTTTCCAATTAATTTTTTTTTCAATTGTTTTTTTAATTTATTTTTTTTAATTATAATGTGTGTGATCCCATTGTCATAAATAATAAAAATAAAAATAAATATTTTAGGACTGAACAAACATATTTTTTAGTTTATGTTTTTAAAATTTTTTAAACATTTTGTTCAAACCAAACGCGTTTGTAATTTATATTTTTCAAAAAATAAACAAAAACCAATTTGTAAAATTTTTGTAAACATAAATTAAAAACGTAAACGCTACCAAACCCTACCAATATGTTCAAGGGAAAGCCTGTCATCTTATAATTACGAGAGAAAAAAAAAATGACATAATTTCTTATTTTTTAAGTCATAATTAAAAGAAAATTAAAAAATCAAACACAAAAAGTCATAATCAAAAATCTCAAAATAATGTTATAATTAAAGAAATATTTAGTATAATTAAAAAAAATGCCGTAACTATAACTGTGCATATAATACGAGGTGTGTGTAATAGAATTGTCCTATGTTCAAACATCAATTAAAGATGTTATTTTTTTACAAACAAATTTGTTTAAATAGTTGTTTACAACAATTTTAAGCTATGTTTGGCATGAGTCTTTTTCATTATTTTAGTCAATAAAATAAAATAAAATAGGTTATAAGATAAAATGTCACATTCAAATCATAATTATTTTATTTTTTCTCTTACAAAAGTCAAAAAATTTATCCCAAACGAGACTTTTTAACCTCAAGTTGAAATAGTCAAAAAGTCAACTCACATCCTAAAAGAAGGTTTAGTATTATACGACAAGGTTAATAACTTATGAATATATGTAAGATATTAAGCCCTTGTTTGGCATGAGGCTTTTTTGAAGTTGGGACTAATTTAGTCACAAAACATATAAAATAAGTTAAAATGTTACTAAGACAAAATATCGCATCTACATTATAATTATTTTTTTTTTTTTCATAAAAGCCAAAAAAATTAAAAAATCTAACCTAAACAAATTTTTTAGCCCCACACCAATAGCCAAAAAGCAAAAAACCAACCCATTTTCTAAACGAAACCTAATAAAATAGTAGTGTCTACCATAAACCTAATGACGTAACAATCTATTAGAATATTTAAAGTAACACTTTTTCATATCTTCTCTAATCATCAACTAATTAAATCATTTACACATCATTGAGTCTAGAAAATAAATATAAAAAGTGAGTTTGTATATAATTTTTCATAATGAATTATATATGTATATATCTAAACGATCTAATTTGATTCTAAATCAAAATTATAACTCTAAAATTATGGATTAAATCATGAAGTCCGAATTTAAAGTATCAAGATGAAATCGTTGATTGAAAAATTAAATCAAATCAAATCATTGAAAAAATAAAAATCAAACCATAAAGTTTAGCATGAATCCAACTGAATTGTAATTTTTTGATATTTTTCTAAACCCAAAAAAACAAAAGCAAAATATTTGAAATTTTTATAAATCTTTCACAATTTAACTCATAATACTATAATTTAATGGACTTTTCTTAAGTGTGCAACTTACACCTTACATTTACGTCTTTCTGTTTGCTGTCCTGTTTTATGTTTACACCTTCCATTTACACTTTTTGTATTGGTTGCATATGGTGGGCAACCAACACCCTAATTTAATAAGTATCAAATTTTTAGTTATTTAAATACTCAGTGATATGTGATCCACTATTCATGAATATAAAATGTGACTTTCTAATATTGTTTAAAAAAAAAATCCAACAAAAATATTAGAAAACATAAAAAAAAACTAGACACCACAACCATACCTCCTCTCTCTCCTCTCAAGTGGAAAAAGGCTGCAAACCCAAAACCATCAACTGGAAGAAAAAGTGTGAACCCTTTCTCTCTCTCTCTCTCTCTCAGTTTCAGCTTTTGAGTCAGATCCCTGGACTAGATTCTGATACCATTCTCACAATGGAGATTATAGTCAGTCCATGCCTGTTCTCACTCACTCACTTCTCACCATCGTGATGTTGTGATTCTTATTTAGGGTTTTGTCTCTGACCTTTGCACAGACCTGTATACACACACAGACATACATATAGATAGATAGATAGATAGATAGATAGATAGATAGATAGATAGAATTTTTGAGTTTGTATATGCAGAGAGATATGCAATCCGAATCTGGAAACCAGCAGGCTCCATCGGTGGCTGCAGCGACTGATACGCGAGGGAAGCATCGGATTTCGGCTGAATTGAAGCGTCTTGAGCAGGAAATTAGGTCCTTGGAGGTTAGTTCTCTTTGTACTTTGATGGGATTTTTTTTTCTTTGAAGTGTTTTGAATTTGGGTTTTGATTTTTTGTTGTTGATTGTTTGGTTAATCAAGTTTAATGCTCCTGATTGATGGGTTTTTTTAAGGAAAAGTGGTAATCTTGAAGTGGATTGTGCATTGTTTAGAATCCTGAAATAGCTTCCAGGGATTATTCTTCAAATTCTCTGATAATTAGACTGTGTTTGTTTAACTCTGGGTTGTCATTACAGCAAAAACATTCAAACCTTCAACTTATTTCCTTCTCAATTTTCTAGGCAACCAAACAGAGCAATAATTGAGAAAAATGTTGGAAAAAGAAGATAAAAATCTTACATTTCTCAGTCCACACCAAATAAAATAATAAAAAATAAATAAAAAACCTTTGAAGGTTTGGGTGAAGTCAATTATGTATCTGCTTTCAAAATTAAGGTTTTGTACCATGCTTAGGATTGGGGTTTTAAGGGTAAAAATGAAGGCTTTGGGTATGAAGTGCAAGATTAGGTCTGTACCATGTCTCTGTACCCTGTCTAGGACCCTCTTTAACACCCTAAATTGACAGGACAGGACCAACATTTGGTAATGGCCGTTGTAAGGGTAGAGTTTTTGAGTATCCCATCATATTGAATGGTTCTGCTTGGTGTTACTGCTAAGCTTTTGAACCTTTTGCTGGATCAGTATGTATGATGATGCAGTTGCTTGTGCTAATGTGAGAATCTTGTAGTAACTGCTTATGGTTGCTCCTTGAATGGTGTTAGTGGGTGCCAAGTGACCCTTCAGTGATGCTAATTTTGGGCGAGGATTAACGCTGATGTTGAATGAGATTATGCGTTAACTGCGTTTTTGTCGTTTACTTCTGTAATGGTTAGTATTCGTTGTACTCATGTCCTTTCATCTTGGTAACTCTGGACTCATGCACGTGCCCTGAGAACCATTCTACCATTTATCTAATTTTGTTTTTAAAGTTACATTCATGTTGAATGATAATTAATGAAGTGTTAATCAGAGCAAGCAACAAAAGTTGCCTATTTTGTGAAGAGGGTGCCCTTGTATGGTAAGGAATTTGAAACAAAATATACGTGGGGAAGTGTAAATCACGTAACTCTGGACTCATGCATGTGGCCTGGTAACTTTAAGCCTTGTCTTTAGGTTTTTCTTCTTGATGCGATTTTAGCTTGAGGTAATTTTCAACGTGTAGCCTTTTAAAGCCTCGTAAAGCCGTGGTTTGATCATATAGTTTTAATTACTTAGATTTAATAACAAAGTAGTCAAAAAAGTTATTATGGCTAACATAAGGGATAGTGTTATTAAAAGTGCGCCTAGGCCCAAGTCCTATCTAGGCCTAAGGTTTACGCCTTGTAGTGTTCCAGGCCAGGAGATTTCGATAAGGCTCGCCTAGGTGTGCGCCTAGGCCCAAGTCCTGTCTAGGCCCAAGGATTGCGCCTTATAGTGTTTCAGGCCAGGTGACTGTGATAAGACACTTGACTGACCAAGGCTTGCTTCTTGAGGGCTTTTTTTTATTGTTACTTTAATTGGTTTTGTTTAAAATCTGACCATTGATTTAATATGGTACAGCTACAGAAGATCCTTATTCTTATTACTAGGGGTGGGCGTGGATCGGTTGCGGCCACTGAACCTCTAATCTGCCATCCGTCCGCCAGATTGGCGGATTGGAGCAAATCAATCCGCATCCGTCTGCCAATCCGGCGGATGCGGATGCGGATTGGCGGATGGATACGAATCGGTTTGGCGGTTGAAAATTTTACAAATTTTCCACATAAAAAAAAAAACAATGAAATTAATAATGGTTTCCTTTCCGTTAAAGATTTTACTGGAAACATGTTGAATCAAGATTAGTTAAAAAAGAATATAATCTATGAACAAGATTAGTTAAAAAAGAAACAAATGGGTTGGGCAATTTTCAAAACCTGGGCAATGAAAATAATGAATAACAGTGTATTGGAATGTCCACAAAACCTGGGCAATGAAAATAATGAATAACAGTGTATTGGAATAACAATGTATTGGAATGTTCACAAAACCTAGGCAAAATAATGAATAACAGTGTATTGGAATGTTCACAAAACCTGAGCAATGCAAACTTACACATAACTTGGGCACTTAACGTACTAGTCGCTTTAAGTTCATAAAAAAATACTCATATGCCTATGTAATTTGAATAACAGTGTAAGTAACTGGGCAATTTTCATCATCCAAAAAAAATACTTATCATCTAAAACCTGGGCAATTTTCACATCTATGTAAGTAACATAACATAACAGTGTACTTCCTCAAACATTGTATGAAAAATTAAGCATCCAAACCAAGTTACATTATAGTTATCCAAACATTGTGCATCCAAGTTATAGTCATGCAAAGTTCAAAAAACAAACAAGTTACATTACAGTCATCCAAAACGTTGTATATCCAACAAACATTGTGCATCCAAACTAAAACCATAGTATTACAGATACAGTCATCCAAAAAAAAAAGCAAAAAAGTTGTTCATTTCCTTCAACCAAACCATGAGCCATCTAAACCTGCATATCAAAAAAATAAAATTATTTAATAAGGAAAACACTAAAAAGTTTTAAACTTAAAAGACGTAAACATATGTTAACAACATTTAATCAAGGGGAAGTATTTTTTACCAATGATATTAAATTTCAATAATATTACTCTCCGGACATGAGCTTGAACAAGAACTTGATTCTGAAACTACTACACATAACACAAGAAAATCATGTGAATTGAAAATAATGAATTTGAATAATACAAAATAAATAAAATTTAAAACAAAATAAATTATTGAATGTATTACTCGAATTATATTGTTGTTCAAATTCTTCAACATCATTCATTGCTTCTCGAAGGCATATTGGATTGTTACTTTGGAGCCAATTTTTTGTACAAACAAGAACCTCCACCATCTTTGGAGCAAGTGAACTCCGAAATGGATCAAGTATACGACCTCTTGTACTAAAAGCCAACTCAGAAGCAACAGTGGAAACAGGCATTGCCAACACATCTCGTGCTATAAGTGATAATACTCTATACTTTGTTGCACTAACCTTCCACCCCTCCAAGATGTCAAATTGAGCATTCTTCCCACCTTTCTCAATATCACCCAAGTACTTGTCCAATTCCGACATACTCCCACTACTTGAAAATTGCCCCTCCAAAAATGAGTTAAATTGAGAGTTCACAAGAGAATGTGGGTCATTTTCATCTATCACGATATCTATTGTTTCATTTACATTGGAGGCATGCACATTTGTTGAATCAAGTGCAGCATAATGATCATACAATTTACTCAAACAATTTTTCACCTTCTCTAACATTTCTTTCACTTTCACAACATCTCCACCAAAAATTGTTGAAAAATAAAATTGCAAGTATGTCATTTTTCTTCGAGGGTCAAGAACAACCGCAATGTACAAAAGGAGATTGATTGTATCCCCATTTCCCCAATACTTGTCAAACTTTTCTTTCATTTTCTTTGCCATTGAAGACAAAATAGGATCATTGTCTTTTATTAATTGTCCAATCATATTTTCAATGACAAAAATTTCAGTGTAGAATGTATTTGAAGTAACAAATAAAGAGCCAGAAAATCTCTTTGTTGCATTGTAGAACATTCTAAGAAATTTCAAAAACACCCTACAATTATCCCAATCCTCGGCGGTAGGCATCTCTCTCCTCTCACCCCCTTCATTATCCAAAAAGTAGTGTTTATAATTGTAGTCCTCCTTACCCATTCTTTGAAAAGCACTTTCAAATTTTTCTGTTGCCTCCAACATAAGATATGTAGAATTCCACCGTGTTGGCACATCTAGGCACAAGAGACTCTTACTCTCAATTTTCAAACTTTCCACATAAAAGAGTCAAGACGGTTTGGAGAAGACCTCACATACCTCACTGCATGCCTCACATTCGCTGTACAAGACTCAAGATCCTTCAATCCATCACTAACAATGAGATTTAGAATATGTGCACAACAACGCATATGTAAAAATTCATAGCCCAAGACAGTTCCCTTCCACAATTTTGTGGTTCGTTTCAAGAAGCTAATGGCTAGATTATTGGAACTCGCATTATCAACAGTTAAGGTGAAAAGGCCATCAATGTCCCACTCTTTTGCAACTTCCAATCATCATCAATGAAATGTGCAGTTAGACACATATAACACAAATTTTGTATAAAAGTCCATGTGTCTGTGGTAAAGCAAATTTTACGCGCCTTCACAATTTTCTTCAACCTCTCTCTTTCATAGTGTATATGTCTACAATGTCCCTAGCAACAGTATATCGAGATGGGATCTTGAACTTGGGTTGCATGACATTACAAAACCTCTTAAAACCAATCCCATCCACAAATTTAAAGGGCAATTCATCAATTACTATCATCTCGGCAAGATGCCTCCTAACAACTTCTATGGAAAATGGCGTAACCACAACATCAACAACACCCTCACCATCACCACCAACTTCTCTAGGTTGAAATCCCAATGTTTGTTGCCCATGAGTGTCCCTATATGGATACTTTGTACAATTTTTCAAATGACTTAACAAATTACTTGTTCTGTGACTCTTAAAGCCTACCATATATTCTTTCTTACAATACTTGCACATAGCCCTATCTTTCCCATCAATACCCTTAATCTTTTCAAAATGATCCCATGCCTTTGATGTTGTTCTCCCACTACTACTAGTTTTGGCCAAGGGTGGTCTACGAGGGAGAGCATTAGATTGGGTAGAGGGGTCAATAGAAGATGATTCGGGCTCAACATTAGGACTCAGAAAAAAAATTTATTCACTTGGAGGATCCATGACCAAAAGATTATCAAATAAACTGCCAACAACCAATAAAAAATCATTCAAAATATGTTTTTCAAATCCATATTCTTTTTAAACAAACAACCATTAGACTCTTTGTCTATGTTTGAACATGTTAAATGGCATATGAAGATAAAAGAAGGATAT